GAGCTAAGAAAACGCCAAAGAAATACAGACCTGAGCAATGCCCTACTCTATACCCCTACAAGTTATCAAATATCACTACCATGGACTTTAACATGGACTACAACACTTCAACCTGCTTTAAGATACTGGGTGCAGCAAGGACCTCTTCTGCCAAAGAAGGATCCCTTCGGAAGGGACTTCACTTACTACAATGATGTGGCACACTTCTGGGCTGCCTACACTGCACTGGTGGCAGGGACGATGGCTTTTCAAGGCTAAGCAACAGTCTTTGCAAAAACAGAAACCTACATACCCAAATGTCAGTCTCAGCAAGGTTTAAATGACAGTGGCAACGGCCCCCCATCCCCACCACCCATCTGCCAAGGATGCTCGCGTACTAAGGTGCCATCTCCTACACATATTGCTTCATAGATCTCCTCAGAGATTCTAGGCCCAACTGAGGCATAACCTTCTCAAGTCACAAAGACAACAAGAACACTGGGTCCCCAAGCCATGACCTTTCCAACAATGTGTGTTCTATTCAACTTTCATGCTGTCCATAGCTCCTCTGGATCCACCTCTCACTGGAGCTCTACGTCCAACACCTACAAACCACAACAGCGGGAAAGGAACCCAGGCAACACAGACATGCTGTCTTCTACTTCCATGTTTTCTGCAAGATGACAGAAACACTCTGCCCTTCCCTGTGAGAACAAACAACAGGCTTCCCTGCAGGTGACTATAACCACGCACAACTGGACAAACGGACCCTCTGTGGGAGGCCATGCATGGCTCCAACAACACACATTCCAAGGGAAACATGCACACCCAAGAACAGGACCAAAACACTCCCCTCCTCTACGGTGCCAGGGGACATACAATCCACAGAAGCTGGGGATCACACACAAAAAACTCCCATGGATGGCCCTGACAGATTGGAACACTGAACAACACACATGAAAACGGCAGACAGGCAGCCCTAACAAAAAGACATAGCAAACTGAGAATAACACAAACCAGACAAAAACAATGTGTGGAAGCCACTGCTCACATCAGTTCCTACACAATAGGACCTCGTCACACTCCAAAACCACACATGTGGGGCAATCACATGGGGACTTACTGTTTTCACAGGGGAAAAATAACCATTCTTAAAAAAATACAGCCTTGCACATATTAGACGAGCATCTATCTTTCCTTTCAAAGCTCAGGACAATGGCTTCCCATGCACCTGGACAACACAACAGAAGGGCAATACAGACAGAAAAACAGGTCCATGGAAGAAAACCATGCCTATGGAGGATCTTGCCTCATCTCCTGCATGGGACACAAACAAGGGCACAGATCAAACCTCCAGGATAGGGATGGGCACAGCACCCGTTTAAAACCCAAGGCTCTTCACGCCACAGGCCACCACAATCCACAAGGAGAAACACTGGACAGGGAAAAAACATCTTCAGACCATGACCCGCAAAAGCCTCACTCCGCTACACACTCATCCGTCATGCCCCTATTCATTCTCTCCGAGAGAAACGGCAATGCTCATCCATTCTTTAAAAATTCACACACATCCTTGGCTAACTTACAATTCCCAAAACCAACACACATGGACTTCATCTCTATATCACTCAAGTTCAGAAACATGCCCAGGCCTCAAACACTGGCCCACAAACCGCTTTGGATCACTGGACAGAGCATCAGCCTGCACCATCCAATACCCAAGGTTCCATGACAGCCAAAGATGGGTACCTTTCAGGTAGGCACAGCCTTCGCCAGTTCGAGCTGTGAAGAAGGTACATGATCCATGGTTCCACCTCTGCATCCCATGGCTCTCCTTCTCCATTCCTCCCTGTAAAACAATCCAGAAAATATAGTTTCATGGAAAAACCTGCAACGATACAGATCACCAAAAGCATACAATTCCATTCAGCCTCTCACGCTCCCTGCTTTTCCATGGACATGCCCCTCTTTCAAAGTCATTTGGCACAAAGTCCATAGAGTTCCTGTGGATAATACTGCCTTAGGACACACTGTGCATTTTGAGAAATGATGTGCACGAATGAGTGGCAAAGAAAAACCGTGGCAAAAGAAAGCCATCGGAACAAGGACATCAGCATCGTTCCACATGCTTTCATTCGGGGACATCCATGCAACACACATCCCCAGACACTTCAAAACGGCGGTCATCGCTATCCATCACACTCCCCCAAAAACCTGGGAGTCCCACCACCGCTGCGGCTTTCACAAGGGACCGGTCACAGACAGCAGACCGTTCACATACCCCAGAAGGAGGACAGACAGGCACCGCTCAAAAAAACAGCACAAAAAAGCCATGCTCTGCAAAAAACATACGTGGACAGCTTTTAGGACACTCAAAAAGGCACTTTATCTTCTTAAATACAAAAGACGGATGCTAAAGAACACTGAATAGACAGCAAACCCATGTGGATAGCCCACTCCGCCAGAAAACTTGACAAATAGATGGCAGGACAACAAGGAGAAAATACACATTTCTACCACAAGCAACAAAAATGGTCTCACGTGACTCCCCTAGCTCCAAGCACACAAAAATGCTCTTCGCATGGCCTGACCCTCCCTTCGTCACACACTTGCTCTCATTCCAACATGGGACTCCTTCACTCCAACACCACCCAACACTCCACAAGAAACAAGGATGCTGCGGAAAAAACAATCACAAACCCTTCCTGGCAAGGGCCCTCCCAAGTCTGCTTCACCCAAAAGCCTTTCACATCCTGCACAGTCCTTGAACCTTCCTGTCCCATCCGAAACTCCCTTGCCCTCCTGCCCCACGTGACGGGAAGCCCTACAAAACAAACAACCTTTCACAACCCCTACTCCCACAGCAAATTCACAACATACCGTGTGGATACTTTTCCTTTAGCCACTGCTTACGTGAAAAACTCGCTTGGGATGACCTACATACAGACCACATGTCAGACACTGACCTGTGCTTCCAAAATACTGCCAAAGGGAACGGGCCTACGGCTCCTGTTCCGTGCCACCCTGCATCCGCTGCAGGGGACCGAGGACTCACAGGCAACACGGGCACACCAAGGCTACACTGAAAACAACCCATCCAGGCAGCGCTTTCTTGCACATGGGCATGCCACACAACATAGATGTTTCCTGTCACTTCCAAATAACATCCACTTCCTACACCAGTCAGGACCCAGGGAACAAAGGACACAGCCAACTTCCAGGATTCCTGACTTTCACTGCATATGGCAAAACTTGGGGGCACGACAGGGTCCTTCGTGCCCCACCCTCTCCATCCCCCACAACACCCCACACACGGGATCCCATTCGGTACCACACGCAAGGCACAAGCAGCACACGCTCAAAACAAACCGCCATCGAAACCTCCTGCTCTGGCACATCCAACACAAACACGTCCCTGCTTCCTTTTCACCTACAAAAAGGGACGGCAATACTTGAGTGGGTCCACATGGGACACGTGCACATCCACGAACACGTATACAGAATGAGAATCACTCAACAACACTGCAGGACACAGCCTCCCTGAGAAAAACATAAAACACATCCTCATGGGCTCACCTGTCACTCTTTCGGAGGCTCACTCGGGAAAATCCTTCCAAACGTACTGTGCTGCGTTGGGCTCCCTATCTGGCACTTTGGCAGACGGGTCATGCTGTGCTGTAGGTTCCTAAAACACATACATGGGAAGGGACTCACATCAAGCCAGGCCTTCAGATAGGCTCTGCTGGCCCCTTCCCAGCACACGGGCCTTCTTTCTCCAAAGGCCCGAAAGTCTCATTCCAAATTGGGGAGACAAAGGACTGCACAAAGTATACACAAACACAGTTTCCTCCATACTGGAGGCCCACAACTTGAAAGACACATTTTTCTCTGGGCATCCACACAATTGCCTCATAAAATGGAACTCCTACAGTCGGCACTGCACTTCAGCCTCTGCTTCGGCAGGGTGCTGTCACTATAGGCACTGGCCACCTCAAGAAATCCTCGCTTGCTCTTGAAGACCTCTTTGGACTCGGTGGTCTTAGTCTCGCAAATGTGCCTCCACAACAATACCATGACGCTCAACTCCTCTACAACACGACATGGCCATCTCAGCAAACGCTCCTGCTCTCGGAACCGATGCTCACCCTTCTGAAGCATAACACCATCTTACCTCTTCGCAGCAGAAAGACATCCACCCAAGGACACACTGGAAAACTGCACAGGGAAGCTCCAAAGCACAACGACCTCGCATGGATGGCCAAACCAGAACCTCCACCTTCCATACATGACTTGCCCTGAAAAAAAGAAGCAACCAACATGTCTACAGCACCCTTCACCACACACAGCAGGAAGGAACCCAAACCACACCACACACACACTTAAGGGAGGGGGAGCCTCACACGCCTGCACGGCACCCAACACAGGGCTGGCACAACTTACCACCACCTCCACCGCTCCGCCACGGCTCCCTCCAACACCTGCCCACACGAGTCCTGTGTATACAATGGGACCACGCGACGACCCGAAAAATACCACAGGACCTAGGATCACAGCACACACGGACCAACACCCATCTTCCCCACACCCACCATGCCGGGAGGACCCCACACACACTCACACAAACGCACACGACCTGCATCCGCCGAAGGGCTCCCACCTACAACCGTTCAAAACAAACACATGCAACACTCAACGCAAGTCTACAAAATTCACAATGACAATTCAACAATCTCTCACATCCATCTTGCTTTCTCTGCTCCCCTTCCTTCCTTCCTTCCTTCCTTCCTTCCTTCCTTCCTTCCTTCCTCCCTCCCTCCCTCCCTCCCAAATCAAAACCTACTGCACCAAGGACACTGCCAGGGCACCCACCTGGCCTCTGCCATCACACCCAACAGCCAGCGGGGACATCGGCCTGCCCTCAACCCTCTCACACGGAACATCTTGCAAGCACAGGCAGAGATGAAGTGACACAGGGACGGAAAACTGAGGGGGGGAAAAAAAAAGTCTGAAAGACCTTTTAATAAACGATCATCACACGCTCTTACAATTCTACTACGTTAAGGACACTTGCACACACGCACAGGGGAGGACCCATGGCCACAGGCTCACATGCCGGACAACATCCTGGTCGGCTCAGAAACACACTTGGACACCAACACGGCACACACGGCCCACCTATATGCTCCACCACACACCAACAACAGACACACGTCAAAACACACCTCTCCCTCACCACCCATGCAAACCACTCTCCAAAAACGCCACCGCCTGCACAAGGAAGCAGCCAAAAACAACACATGCACCCACTCCCACAACAATGGGACAACAAAATCACCACACAGCTCAACCACTTACCTCAGCAGACAACGGCTCGGTAGGTTGCCCCACGAAGAACGCACGACGACACACGGCTCAGGCATTCAACATCCATTCCATCAGCCACAGAAGGCCTGGCTCAGCGGGAATGCCTACAAAAACCAGGCAGGGGAGTCGCCGGCTTTTAAAGCACTTTGGGCGGGATTGGCAACGGCAGGAACTTTTGGGGGCGGAGACTTCTGCGAGCATAACAAAAACGCCACCGCCTGCACAAGGAAGCAGCCAAAAAAAACACATGCACCCACTCCCACACCAACGGCACAACAAAATCACCACACAACTCAACCACTTACCTCAGCCGACAACTGCTCGGTAGGTTGCCCGACGAAGAACGCACGACGGACACAAGGCTCAGGCATTCAACATCCATTCCATCAGCCACAGAAGGCCTGGCTCAGCCCGAATGCCTACAAAAACCAGGGAGGGAAGTCGCCGGCTTTTAAAGCACTTTGGGCGGGATTGGCAACGGCGGGAACTTTTGGGGGTGGAGACTTCTGCATGCATACCTGGAGGGGACACATTCCAATCGGCTCACCCAAACTCAACCATGCCCTTCAGCAAAATGACTGCCCACACTCAAATCACCTCAAAAGCCACTTCCAGAGAAACGGCGACCCACTCCAGGGCTCCATCCAGCAACACTGCACCTATCCCTCAACCTTGGGGACCACAAGCGCCTCGCAGGGTCTCCCTTGCCTCATCAGGCCACTAACCCACTGGGATCCCTACACACAACCTGCACTCTCAGCGGACACGGCCTCTCAGCCTCACAAACAACACAATGCATCACCTGCTGCTGCCGCCAAACAGCTTCAGCGGCTGGGACACACGCATCCTCACTCCTAGACAGTCGCATCTCACTTGCATCACGACACCTGCCCTTCTTCATCTCTGCTCACATGAAAACGGAAGCCGCTGACGACACCCTAGCCCCAAGTGGACCACAGGCTGCCATTCGCCGGCCCTGGGACACACACACCACCTGTCCTGGTGGCACACCACACAACCTTCGCCTTCCTCACATCACTCAACAACCAACCATCTCACCTGGCTCTGCTCCTCACAAACGTCCCTACCATCGGGCCTCACAGGCAAGCACCACACTCAGCCGGCTCTCCCGGCCCACACGCACCTCACCCCACCGGACGGGCTCCGTCCCACACAACAACCGACGCGAGCGCTGGACCCTCTACACACACACCTCCACGGAAACGAGGCCCGAAACAACAGCCGGCTCCCTCAACAAACACAGAACCTCACCCTTCCTCCCCATTTCAAACCTAATAGCATCCAAACAGACACCACTTCCAACCACACAGCACCATCACCTGCCCTCTCAACAGCCACACCCACAGGCCCATGCCTGCAGGGATCCACAAACCTCCACCCTCATCACCTCCACAATGGCCCATCCACAGCTCCATCCACCTTTGGCCCTAGGGAACCCCAGCGCTGGCAAACAACACCTTGCAAACACATTTCTGGGAAACATCTCCAATGGCCTCTTCTGTTTGGATTTGGAAACAGATACCTTCTCCTCAACTCCACACGACAGTGGCTACACAACTAAATCACAGGACACACACAGATGGGACTCACTTCCTACCCCCAAAATAGAAAACGGGGACCATCCAAAAGGCACTCAAAAAAATCACATCTTGCCCTAACCGGTTTGGCTCAGCGGATAGAGCGTCAGCCTGCGGACTCAAGGGTCCCAGGTTCGATCCTGGTCAAGGACATGTACCTTGGTTGCGGGCACATCCCCAG